CATAGGGATACAGAGAGGGGCCACTTCTGAAAGCCAGCGGATGTTTTGGGGTAGGAGAGGAGGGAGTGACTGGCCGTGCGTCCCACAATGCAAAGGGCAGCCTTATATGACCATGGGTGGTTCTGCAGCCCGTACAGTGTTCAAGGGTCCCCCTGGCTAGTCAAGAGGACAAAACAGCTGGCTCCAGCCATACGTCTCTGGAAGGAGAAACTTGAGAAGGGAGATAAGCTGCTGAAGGTGTCGCAATTCTAAAAGTGCGCATGCGCAGACCACGGGTACCAGGGTGGTGGTTCCCTGGGGCCGGCCAGGCAGGGGGCACGGTCCGCTTAGGCTGCCAGCTTGGAGAGGTATTCAGAGATGCTAGAAGGCTGAGACCCTTTGTGGAATAGAGAGGGAGGGAGTGTACCTGTGTGTGTGCTCCCATTGTCCTTACAGCTGGAGCCTGCCAAAATCCTCTTGGCAGGCTGGTAGCCCCTGCCCTGCCCTCCCCTCCCCCAGCTGTTGGAGCTCACAGCTGGTCCCTTCCCTGGAGAATGGCCCTTGGTCAAATGGACCACCCTCCCCACTTTAGTCAATGGCTGCCTAATATCCCATCTACTTGTCATATAGCTCTAACACCAGCTCTTAATAGCACTAGGGCTGCATTTTACTTACCTATCTCAACACACGGATTTTTTTTTTTAAGTGTGTGGCTCTAATTTAAATAAACCATCCAAGAATATCTCCATCGTGTAATTGGCCTGCCATCTTCCTCATCCCAGGTGGGACAAATCTATCCTGCAGTTTGTGTCCCCCAGTTCCCCTGGGACCAGACATACCAAGCAAAGTCCCCACTACCCTCCTTTCTGGATTGCGCTCACAGCAAATCATTGAGTGATAGTCCTGGAACCGGAGCCCAGGCACCTGCCACCTACCAGGGATGGAGACCTCTGTCTGTTCCAGGTTCTCTTTTACCTACTGGACAAAGTCCAAACACCCTGGCTGGATTTCTTAAGTCCTCTGTTCCCACCTGACCTCCATGCTGGCCTCTGATCTCCTTTCCTATGCAGTCCTCTGCTTTGCTAGCTCTCCAGGCAAGTCTGGAGCTCTTGGATCGTCCAACTCTTGCCCTCTAATGCTCCATACTTTGCACACACAATGATGCCTTGGTTCCCACTGCTCAAACTTCCAAGTTAA